AAAGAGACTCTCGCCATCAGCTCTGGGACCGACGCGGCCGCCTCTGGCCGTCCGGGGGTCTCCATTCAGAGAAGACCCCGGAAAGAAGGCTGAAGGGCCTGTTCTCTACTCCTCTCCCTTGAAGTCAGCACCTCTTTAGGGACCCATGTGGGGGCCCCAGAGCCCACAGATGAGGTTACCCAGCAAGGAGCCTTGCCAGGCGCTCAGACCCAGGAGGCCAAGGGCAGGGCAGAGGAGGGAGAGAAGATGCAGACACAGTCCGTCCCCAGGGCACGCTGCCCCAGGCGACTCCCTGAGGAGGCCACGTCCCCGTGGATGGGGAAGAGGAGGAAGCTGCTGCCCAGAGTTGCAGGAGCCCTCGCACTGGGCAGGAAGCAGCGAGGCCCAGCCCAGGACGAGGGGAGGGAAAGCGTGCCAGGTGACTGGCCCCGGCTCTGGGCTGGCCACCAAGCCACGACACCAGGCTCCAGCCTCAGGACCCCCAGGACACACAGCTGGTATCTCACCCGCTAATGACCTTGTCTACCCATGCTGCACAGGAATGGCAGGCCCTGTACATGCATACAGGAGTGACCGTGGGAAAGGGGCTCAGGGACTGAGCCGAGGACCCTGCCAAGTGCCTGATGGAGGGTCCCATCAGAGAGGCCAGAGACCACATGGCACGCCCCTACATCACTGACCTGGGCCCCAGCTCACATGCTCCCTGTTGTCCTGGGGACCTCAGACACCCCTTTCCCATCCAACGTCACCCAGACCCCTCCCTAGGACCCAGCTCCCAAGTGGCGGGGAATAGATCTCCTCAAGGAATCCAGTTGGGCAGTGGAACCTTGGCCAGGCGTGCCTGCCAGACAAGGCCATGGCAGCAAGTGTGAACCAGGACGTGCAAATGGCTCCGTGCTGTCACTCACGCCTGGAGTGATTAGGCTCCCTTCATTTCCTGGGCCTCAGTCTCCCAGCCGCAGAACGAGGGCTTGTAAAACCCTTTACACTCTTAAACCACAAGGTTCTAAGACGAGGATTAAGGAGGAGCAGTGAAGTGGTCCTTCTGTTAGGCCCTAGAGTCAGAAACGCAAACCTGCCTCCGCCCAGGGGAAGAGGGCTTGGGGTGAGCTGGCGCCCAGGAGGGGGCCTCTGAGCCCCTTGGCAGCACGAGTCTGGCCTCTGCTCCACGCCCACCTCAGCAAAAACAGGGTCTCCTGGCCACACTCTCACCTTCTCACTCAGCAGCCTTGGGCAGGCTGCAGCTGAAGCCCTGAACCCCAGGCCAGGGCTCTCAGCACCCTTCCACCTGTTGAAAGCAAAGTGTCTGACATTCTAATTCCCTGTCTTCTGTGCTGTAATAATCAGCCCAGTCCCCCAACCCCTCTGGTTCACTTTTTCATTTTCACCTTAAAGGACGACGGGATTCTGCATGACCCAGCACCCGAGCTCCCGGCAGGGCCGGGGCACCTGCTCGCTGTCATGTACCATGTCACGTACTGCGTCACGAACCGTGTCACGTACCGTGTGTGGCTGGGTGCACAGGACTGGTGGCAGGTGCCCCAGGAGCAGGGCTCCCAGAAGGCAGATGTGGCAGGGCTCAGAGCACGGAGCTCAGCCCGCTGGCCTACTGGCTGCCTGAAAATCTGCGCCCCTCTACTTCCTAGGGCTTCCCCAAGCCTCTTGCCAAGCCATGCTGGGGGAGTAGGTGACCCAGAACTCTGTCCCTTCCCCTCGGCTGAGGAAGGCAGTGCGTGCGGTCACCCTGCGGTGACTCCCATAGGCAGCCACGGGGCACACGAGGGAGACACAGGCCTCCTCCACTCGAGGGCCTGCTGCTGGTGGAGGACGACACGCACTCGGACAAGCCCCACCCTTTATGAGCGCCAGCTGACGGAGCCACACGCGTCGCAGGGGAGGGCTTCCCAGAGATGTCACAGCTTTGGGGACAGAGGGTCACTGCAGACCAAGGGGAGGGCGGGAACAAAGGTGAGGAGCTGGGGAGAGGCAGCAGGGGGCATGCGATGACAAGCAGCTCAGCAAGGAGGGACAGGGCGGTGGGGGCAAAGGCTGCGGGGCTGAGAAGGGCCCCAGGGGCTTTTAGGCAGGAGGGAGGCGAGGTCGGATGAGCTCTGGAAACTGAGCCCCTCGTGGCCGAGTGATAGATGGTTGGAGCGCAGTGAGAATGGGGCGCGGAGCCCAGATAGAGGCTGGGAAGATGCGCCAGCGCCAGCAGAGGGAGGCCGCTGGGGGAGCGGGACATGCAGGGGCAGCCTGGCGAGTGTGTGGACATGGGGATGAAGCAAAGGTGGGTGGAGGGTGAGGCCAGTGTGGGTGAAGAGAGGGACTCAGAAGAGGAGACACATGGGGCAGAAAGTGAGGGCAACGCCACCCGTCGTGCCTAAGAGTCCCGGTCCAAGGAGCTGCTGGCAGGCGTGGGCACCTCTTCCCAAGACGTGCAGAACGAACTCACCCGCTGATGATCTCCTTGGTCTCTGCCCGGATGAAGTGCTCCTTCTCGGGGGTCAGAATGCACAGGGAGAACTTCTGGCCCGTGCGGCCCTCCCCATCCACCACGTCTGTGCACTGGTTCATGTTGATGGTGCCCTGAGGGAGGGTCGTGGGCTGCGAGAGGAAGATGGCGCAGGGAGTCAGTCACTCTGGGGGCAGAGGAAGGCAGCAGGGAGTGTCCCTGCATCCCACGGTCCTTTCTGACCCTCCGTGCTTCTCCTCATCACCTGGACCTCTCACAGCTGTGCAGACAGCTGATTACAGCAGAGGACAGGGTGTGCACTGCCTCGGCCTGGCCCTCACAGCCCACCTTCCCACTGACTCATCTCCAGGGAGGAGCGGTGACAGGCCTGCTCTTCTCAGAGGATATCCAGCTGGACATTCCTTCCCACTGGAGAACAACATCCCAGCTAGTCCCGGAGGAGGGCGGGGGGCTGGGGGGTGGGGACAGGCAGGAGACTCTCCTTTTAAGACAGCTGGGACGACAGAGGCAGCCAGGAGCCTGGTCTCAGAGGGTGACTGATCCAGGAAAGCAGGGAGAAAAGCTCCGGCGGAGGTGGTTTCAAAATAGCAAGGTTACTTTTCGAGGCAAGGAGGGGGCCAGAGAGAAGCACATCTTGAAGGTGGGCTGTGGGGCAGGCAGGCCAGAGCCACACACACCAGCCACCCTCCAGGGCTGCCCGTGAGGAGCACTGCCAGGCTGCCTGGCCAGGGCCGGAACAAATAACAACCTTCCCCCTCTTTTCTATCAGCTAGGCTATTAGACACTGATATTAGGGAGAGAAACCCCAAAATAAGAAAAGATGGTTTTAAGAAGTTTCTACTAAGGGGAAGGGTGAGGACCTCCCCCAAACATAAGGAGGCTTATGGGGAGGAGGCAGGTGGCCATGGCTGCCACCACACCAGGTGCAAAGACCCTGCTGAGGGCTCTCACAGGGAGGCGAGCCCCAGCTCCGACTCCCACCTCCACCTCCCCCAGCTGCCCCACGGAGCCCTCCCCAAGCGCCCGGCACTTCCCAGGTCCTGGAGGAGCAGCAGGGAGAAAAGGCAATGGTGGCTGCTGGACTAGGGGCTGCCTCGTCCATGCTCCCTCCCTCCCACCTGCCAGCAGAGGAGGGGGGCCCCGAGCTCTTCTGACCCACCGCCACCTCCCTTCTTATCCCCTGGGGCCCGACCCCAGGAGCCAGACCCAAGGGGCACTGGGTCCCCCGAGTTGTGGCCCCGACGTGGCCGCGGGCTCGCTGGGCCACCGCAGGGGAAGGACTAAGCTCCCTGGCTCCCAGAAGCCTTTCTGTGGGGGGCCTCTGGGATCAGCCTGTCCTCCTTGGGCCCAGCTCAGAATGGAGGTGGCAGGGCAGGAGGGCCGGCCGTGAGCCCACAACGGGGAAATAGCATGCACCCTTGCTGTGTGTTCAAAGTGTGTCCCGTCTCCGAACTGCCCCCCAGGTGGGGACGTGAGAAGGGGCCACACCCACGCCAAGCCTAGTGCCCTTGCTGAGTGAAGTGACCTGGTAGCATCTCTCCTGGGGGCTCCTGGACGGCCCTTGAGCTGGGAAAGGGAGCTTGGGTGGGTTGTCCTCTACCAAGCAGAGGGGGTCCCTCGGGAGCAGCTGACAAGGGAGGTGGCCTGGGTCCCCCGCCCCGGATGAGTGTGTCTTCCCCCACTTCCTGCCCCGGCCCCAGCCCCTGCTCCCTTCAGGGGGTCTAACACTGGGCCTTCCCCGGCACTGTGCCAGTGCCCTTCGGAACCGTCTCTGGGTGGCGACCTCTGCCCTCTCCGGAGCCAGACTCCCACAGGCGGGAACACTCAATCCCCACTGGCCCTGACAAGGCACACGGCCTCTATGAGGCAGGTCCTCAGGGAGGACCCTGATGCCACGAGGAGTAAGGCATGAGCTGAAAGCACAGGCGCGCCTGGTGCACTCCTTCCCTGAGAGAGCCGGACAGGAGCAGAGGGGCTCTTCCTCCTTCATCCACCATGCTGCCGGCACAGGCGCATGGCCCTGAAGAGTCACCCGTCTGTTACACACACGATACACACAGGTAAGTTCAATGGGAACCATAAAAGGCATCATCAAAAGTTCTAGAGTTTTCTTCTCACTAGACCACGTAGCGGGCCCCCTGGAGGCACACGTTCCTCTTTAGAGACCACTGCTCCAGGGCTCGGGGTACCAAGCTGCTCACTGGCCCCTTCTGCACAGTGAGTAGGTTCCCAGGTGAGGTTTCCCTGCCGGCCCTGCAGCTCCGTGTGGTCACGGGACTCACTCACCAACTGCACCACGAGACTTCTGGCAACCTCTCCCTGACGCGAAGGCTCTACCTCCTTGCAGAAAAGCTTTCAGAAGGGCCAATGAAAGGCAAAGACATAACGAGCTAGGGCTGAAGGACATGGAAGTTTCTTTACCACCATCTGTGTCAGGATCTTCCAGTTACAACCTCTTTCCTGCTTCCTTAAATGTGGCTTACCACAAGGCGGGCATTATCTAATCCTGTTACACAAGCAGGAGAGGGAGCAGAGAGTAAACAGCGGTCACCAACAGAAGGGAGAACTGGCAAACTGGTCCAGGTTCACACGGACCTGCCCGTGATGGCTCCTTCGGGGTCTCAACAGCGCCACCCAGGGGAAGAAGCAGCACCCGCACACCGCTGCGCACTCACTGACCGCTCCCACCACCCGCACCTGCCCCTTCGCTGCTCTGCCTTCAGCTGCATCTCTCGCACTCACAGCTCGGGCAGACTCAGCCAAGGGTCTCCAGGGAGTCCCAGGAGGAGGTCTGACCCTCCCCTCCTCTGTCCAGGAGCAGAGCACACCCACCTGCATTCTCAGCATTGGGGAGAGAAGAGAGCACACTCCACATAACAACCCGTTTCCTGGCTAGGCAGCCCTGGTGCTGGGAGAGCCAGGGCGAGTATCTACGCTGTAATGCAGGCCTCACCCCTGGCACTGTCAGAAGAGAAGCCAGCCCAGTCCGGCGAGCTCCCGGCCCTCATCCTGCAATTCGAGAGGTTAGGAATCCAGGCCTTCTCCAAGGCTGCGCATCACCTAGTTTTGCTCATTTCACTTTCCAAAAAAGGGATGGCTGTGGGAAGGCCAACCGATGCGGCTGTGTTGCCAAGTTATGGGTTCAGTCCTCATCCGGCCGGCAATACCACTGGACGGCCCTCCAGCCATCTGGGGGCCTCTGGTCCTCCTCTGGCTTCCACACTGCACCAGCTAAGATGGCAGAGCTGCGACAGGGCTGAAGATCCTCTAAGAGTGAGGTGGCCAAGCAGGAGAGCACAAGACAAGGGCCTCTGTCTGGAGATGTGACCACACTCTACCGAGAACCCAGCTTTCCTGCCTGTTGTCTGCTCGCTGGCTCACAAGAAGCCCACTCAGGAAACTCCTGAACAGCAGCCTCACCCCCTGGGGACCAGGACCCTCCACCCCGACCCTTGGCCCAAGCAGGTGCCATTCAGGGAAAACAGGCCTTGTCCATTTCTTGCCGGAACCTGGAAGTTTGGGAAGGAGTGAGCTTCTAAGAGCCTGAGAGAAAGAAGAGGAAAGTTGGACAGAAACACAGAGAAGGGCCCTTAGACCTTTCTTCTACCTCCTTGCAGAAAAGCTTTCAGAAGGGCCAATGAAAGGCAAAGACATAACGAGCTAGGGCTGAAGGACATGGAAGTTTCTTTACCACCATCTGTGTCAGGATCTTCCAGTTACAACCTCTTTCCTGCTTCCTTAAATGTGGCTTACCACAAGGCGGGCATTATCTAATCCTGTTACACAAGCAGGAGAGGGAGCAGAGAGTAAACAGCGGTCACCAACAGAAGGGAGAACTGGCAAACTGGTCCAGGTTCACACGGACCTGCCCGTGATGGCTCCTTCGGGGTCTCAACAGCGCCACCCAGGGGAAGAAGCAGCACCCGCACACCGCTGCGCACTCACTGACCGCTCCCACCACCCGCACCTGCCCCTTCGCTGCTCTGCCTTCAGCTGCATCTCTCGCACTCACAGCTCGGGCAGACTCAGCCAAGGGTCTCCAGGGAGTCCCAGGAGGAGGTCTGACCCTCCCCTCCTCTGTCCAGGAGCAGAGCACACCCACCTGCATTCTCAGCATTGGGGAGAGAAGAGAGCACACTCCACATAACAACCCGTTTCCTGGCTAGGCAGCCCTGGTGCTGGGAGAGCCAGGGCGAGTATCTACGCTGTAATGCAGGCCTCACCCCTGGCACTGTCAGAAGAGAAGCCAGCCCAGTCCGGCGAGCTCCCGGCCCTCATCCTGCAATTCGAGAGGTTAGGAATCCAGGCCTTCTCCAAGGCTGCGCATCACCTAGTTTTGCTCATTTCACTTTCCAAAAAAGGGATGGCTGTGGGAAGGCCAACCGATGCGGCTGTGTTGCCAAGTTATGGGTTCAGTCCTCATCCGGCCGGCAATACCACTGGACGGCCCTCCAGCCATCTGGGGGCCTCTGGTCCTCCTCTGGCTTCCACACTGCACCAGCTAAGATGGCAGAGCTGCGACAGGGCTGAAGATCCTCTAAGAGTGAGGTGGCCAAGCAGGAGAGCACAAGACAAGGGCCTCTGTCTGGAGATGTGACCACACTCTACCGAGAACCCAGCTTTCCTGCCTGTTGTCTGCTCGCTGGCTCACAAGAAGCCCACTCAGGAAACTCCTGAACAGCAGCCTCACCCCCTGGGGACCAGGACCCTCCACCCCGACCCTTGGCCCAAGCAGGTGCCATTCAGGGAAAACAGGCCTTGTCCATTTCTTGCCGGAACCTGGAAGTTTGGGAAGGAGTGAGCTTCTAAGAGCCTGAGAGAAAGAAGAGGAAAGTTGGACAGAAACACAGAGAAGGGCCCTTGAGACCTTTCTTTCAGCAGGACCGTCCCACCAGGAAGCTGTGCTTACAGACCCAGAGGGGAGGCAGCTCAAAGGCGAGACTCAGATGGGATGGGAATCCTCCATTTTACCCCTCACTCCCCTAGTCAGATGGGAAAATGGAGACCCACAGAAGCAAAGGGCAAAGAAGCACTCTCAAGGTCGGAAGGTACCTCTCAAGGGAGCCCAACCCCACACACTGTCTGAGGTCCTAGCTTGCTTAGGCCACTCAAGCCCGGTCCAAGCAGAGCC